TTTCAGTGGCTGCAGGCATCAACAGGACCTCTCCTGTCTACTTCCTTCCTCCAGAGAATAAGATAGAACTGTGGTGTGGGCAGTGGGTGCCCATGTGCATGGCAGCAGTGGCCAGAGGAAAACTTTATCCCGGCGAGGAGGGGGCCTGTCACTGCACCTAGAGAGAGGCTGCCAGCCAGCCTTGTCCTTCCTCGTCCCCAGCACACATGCACAGTCACAGCCAGCTTTTAACGTGGGTGCTGAGGTGCTTGTGCTTTGTCTGCTGAACCATCTTCAGTAGTGTAGAACTTAAGCAGCAGCTGGGTTTTTCTATTTGTGTTCTGGTTAACTGTTTTAATCACACACACACACACACACACACACACACACACACACACAGTACTAGACCTCATTTTGCAACCATAATTAACCTTCTCCCATAGCCAGTGGCTGAGGCAGTTAGCAAGAGCTTGTGAGTAGTGTCCTCTCTTCCTCCTTAGAGCAGGCAGAGCTGTGTTTTGAGCTAAGCAGCATCACACGAAGCCAGGGTGAGGGGATCAGAAAGCAGGGGGCTTCTTAACACACCAGGGACTTGCAGTCTAAGCACATTCAGCATAGAGAAGGACCGAGATGCACTCACTGCTGCTTTCCCGTGTGGCTCTTGGCAGCCAAACCTGGAGATCATCTACCTACAGGGCAGAGGCCTCACTGCATGCTGCGTGTCCCCTCGTATAGTCCAAGTCATATCCTCTTCCTTTAATTCCCACTTTGCCTGAGTTGTCATTCCCTTGAAAGAAGATAGCAGAGGCCATTTTAATAGTGTGCACAGTTAAGTCTGTTCACACACATTTCCTTCTCCCAAAAGACCTAAGGCAGAAGTGGAGGCCAAAGAGATAACACGGAGACTGGTCACTAGAACCACATGTGAGAATATTACTCTAGACAGGTTTTGTGGTATTCTTTTTCCTCTTGCCTCATTTTGGCATTGTCACAGCTGGCAAAGTAGTGAACATCAATTTTCACTCTGCCTACAATAAAAATAAGGTCCTTGTGACATGGATAAATTCTGTCTGTGGACCAAAGAGAAGCAAAGCCAGACTTTGGGCTGTGCCCCTCCCCACATTTGCTGCTCCTCTGATAACTGGGGGTTCTACAGTGAGCACCCCAAAGACCACAGCCGAGAGCGCTTGACTCCTGCTTGGCAGCCCACGCAAGCGATGGAGTGGAGAACTCCTACTTGCACAGCTGTGTGTTTCTTCTGCAGGGGAGAGGCGGTGGCAGCCAGGCTGATCTGGGACCAAGACAGCCGAGCACGTCAGCACGGTCCAGGAGGCCACTGACGTCAGCTCCAAAGGGTAATTGCTTTCTCCTGGCTGACTAACACAAGGAAAGTTACCGTGACTGAGGACTTTGCCTGGGCCCCACAAAGGCTTAGAGGAGGCAGAAGCTAGGTAGCGCCTTCAGCCAGGTGACGGGACATTCTCTTTCCAGCTGGCCACAGGCAGGCATAATATGCCAGTTTGTCTGGCAGATTGGAGAAATAGGCAGGAAACAAGATGTATCAGATATGCAAGGGGGAGAGCTTGGAGTTTGGACCAGCCAGAGGCCAGGCTCTCCATAGCACTTGAAGCTTCTCAGAGTCCCAGGAACCGTCTGGGCTGTTGTATGTTCCTGAAAACAAAAGTAAGCTGACCAAAGAGGGCCCGAACAAAAGTCCAGTGCCTTACCCAACCTGGTCTCAAGGACCCAGTTCTATGTGAAGGAGCAGTAGAGACCCTAGGGGCAGGAGGCTCACTTGGAGTCATTGCTGAGAAATGCTCCCATGAGCTCCAGAAAATTCCATGTCTTAGCCACCTACCTACCCAGGAACTTAGAGCTCGCTCCATCACTCACCTTCCTGATTATCCAGGCTTATCTGGACCTGTGATACATAAAAACACTTTGCCCAGCTCAAGATCTTAAAACGAGGCCACCATCTTGCTTTGGCAGGGAGCATACAAATGAGCAGAATTATGTGTGTCCAGGTCTGAACTAAGTAGATGTGAGGGGATCATTTGGGACTCCCCAAACTAGAAAGTGAGGAGCTGAGCCCCAGGGGTGAGTCAGCCATTGTAGGAGCTGCCTGGTTGTGGGAACACCAGACCTTGAGGAGAGACCCACTTCCCCTTCTGCCTGGGAGTAGGCAGCTATAGACAATGTTTAGTAAAAACATGTTTACTAAAAAACGATACAATAAGTTCCTGGAAAAGGCCTTCCCACGGAAACCGCCCTGACCTCGACCTTGTCTAAAGACTAACCGCACCTTCAAAAACCCACACACATCCACCTCTGGGTCAGAGCAGAACCAGCCAGGGTAGAGGAGAGAGCAGAAGCTTCTCTGGTGGGAGCTTTTCTTAGGAAGTTTTTCTTGAACCTTTTTGGAGCCTGTTTAAAGTTTTCTTTATATCATTGAACGAGTCTCTGTGTTGCCAATACCCGACACCCTCCGCACGTTCTCGGACACAGGCCGAGCAGCAGACGTGACACCTGGTGGCTTATAGGTTCAGTAGACCTGTGTCTCCCCTTCTGGATGCTTGAGACCCTTACAGCATTAATCAGTCCATGGGAAATGATGCCAGCAAGGTGGAGATCTGGAAGGTTCCAAAGGGTCCCCCCTCCCACCTTCTGTGTGTAGTCCTTCCACCGCCTGGCTCCCAATGCTAAGACAGCTCTCATTTTCTACAGTGCGTTCTGCAGGAGCACATTTCTCTGTGTGTACACAACATGAAAATAATGAGCGTGTAATAGGTCCCCAGACATTTACTACGTCCTGATTATGTGCTAGTCAGTGTAATAACCCCAGTTTCAAAAGCCTTTGGCTTAAAGAGCTGACACTCTGGGAGGGGAGGCAGAGACACAGTGGAATAGAGCATGCAATACTGAAACAGTGTCGCTGTGATTTAAGCCCATCCTGTTGGCCAGGAGGGAAAGGTGTTAACCCTGTAACTGGGGCTAGCCTCTGGCTAGAGGACAGAAATCCCTGCGGTCTTCAGTGCCTGAGCTGGGACTGGAGGGCAAGCGGGCAGGGGCTGCATAGGGGTGAGCATGGCAGATCAGTGGGGTCAGCCAATTCTGCCCTTTAAGGCAGGAGCTGAAGCCAAGGGGTTAGAGGGTGAAAGAACCTGTGTTGTATTTCAGACAGGAATTCAAGCTTCAGGACGTGCTATTACTGATCCTAGGCTCTGGGTCTGATTTTTTTATGGTTGCTTGACCAGTGGGATTGTCTTCCTGTGCTCATGTGGGTCACAAGGACAACTACTGTATAGTCGTGCCTGCTCTGACTTTCATCAAGTCGATGCCACCTATTAAAGGGTCCTTTGTCTAGTGAGAGTGAGTCAGGCATAGTTTGCTGTTCCCTTTCTGGTTAACAGGGTTCTAGAAGGAGCTGGGCACAGACTGGGTCTGTGCCTGGAACACATTGGCTTCTTAGCTGCCTCCTCTCCTGCCCCACTCATTCTGCCTTATTTTGCTGACTCCTCCAGACAAGTTTGAACTCTGGAAACACTTTAAAGTATGTATTGAATGGCTGTACCCATTGAGGTTCTGTAATGAGGTGTGTCATATACCTGTAGTGAACAGAAGTGTCAAGCAGGTAGCTCTGGAGCAAGTGTGTGTCCCCGCGTAACCACTGCCTGATGAGTGACAGCATCTTCATTCAACTCCATGGAGGCCTGAACTCCTACCATCTTTCAAATGTAACTGTTACCTGACTAAACTGTGGAGTCTTTCCCATGTCTGAATTTTGAGTAAATGGAATGTTTCATTATCTGGTTCCATCCACACAGTTCTGGGAAATTTCTCCATATGGATACAGATGGCATGATTGGTTTTTTTTCCACTGCTATGTTATATTCCCTTGTGACTGTAGCCACCTGCTACTGATAGATATTTGGGTTCTCTCTTGTCTTGGGGTGTTATGTTATGTCATGTCATGTCATGTCACTCACTGGGTCTAGTGTCCCTCTTTTCACTGAGGGGATAACTGCTGGATCATGCAGTATGCCTACAGAACTTGGGAAGCCGACCCATTATTCATACATCCACCATCTCCTTGCTCTGCACCAAGCCCATGTTGGACTGAAGTCATCATAATAGCATGGCAAGCAGAAATGTGCAAGACAGCGTGGTTCCCCTGCTTAGGGTTAGTCTGAGTGAACATCCATCAGTTCTGTACCTCCATCATACAGTCTTCAGCTGTTCTAACACTTAAAACACTCCAGCGTGGGTGGAGAGCAATAATGTGGGGAGTTCTGTCCTTTGTTGGTTTAAGACTGGAGTACTTACAACTGATGTCTGAGACTGAGCCATTCCTGGGAGCTGGGCCCTCACCCCAAATCATCTGCTGTAACTTAGTAGTTGTCAGAACTGAGTTAAATTGGGGCTAACAAATTGGCATCTACAGAGAACTGGAGAGTTGTTTGGGAAGAAAGCCTACCTTTCTCTTCACAAACCATGTGTTCCCCGAGCCAGGGCCATTCCATCAACCCCACTTCTGGTGATAGCTGAAGTGTGACCCTTGTGTACTTGAGCACGTCGGACAGGGGGCGTGTTTAGCTGTGCGTATTTTTGCTTTACAAGCTTCTCGTTCACCTCCAGAAAGCCATTCGGAATACAAGCCTCCCGAATGTGAACTCTCCTCTCCTGCATTCCCTCCCATAGTGCTAAACGACACTGGTACACACAGACCCTGAAACATGCTTTAGGCACATCTGTTGTGGCTTACATAAATGTGCATGCCGTGTGCCCTGATCCCATGTTAACAGTTGGGAAAGGGTGTTCACCCCACACAGCAGAGTCTGTATGTTCATACAGCTAGACATGAGCATGATAGAAATGGGATACATTTGCTACACTGAGATTCAGTTTGGACAGCTGTGCAGTATGAGTGAGAGACAGGCACGAGGCTGAGGAGCCGTGGCTGGCTCCTGAGGGCTACTAAACTTAGGCTGACTAAAGCTCTGTTTACCTTGTCTCTCTTGCAGGGGTTGGCACCCGGAACTACTACCGAAAGATTGGCTACAGGTTGCAAGGCCCCTACATGGTAAAGATGCTAAAATAGTGGCCGCAGCATCCTCCCTGGCAGAAGACCAAAAGTAGGGTCTCTTGAATACCCAGCAGAGGCTGAGCAAGTAGATGGACCTGCATGTCCCGTGCATCCCACCCCCAAGTGAAGTCCTCTGCCCTCCCTGTGACTGCTAGCTCCCGGCTCTAGCCTCTGCTACCTTCCCTCCTTGTGCCCATGGAGTCACTTCTGGCTTTTAGGCTTACACGATTTCCCAGTTTCTAAATTCTGCATGAAGGCTGCAGGTGGCCCATTTGGGCTCAGACACTGTGGCAAAAGCAAATCACCTCCTTTGGCCATCATCACCTGTGATTGTCATCTGAGGGGCAGCCTCAGGAGAAGATGATTTATATACTGGGAAGATGAAAGCCGACCGCAGCACAGAAAAGCTGTGGACAGAACTCTCTGCCCTTTAACCACAGGCACGTTCACCCTGGGATGGAGAAAATGAGATTTGCACTGGGAATCATTTGGTGACTGTGCTCATGTCTTGAATTGGGCTGTGTTTAGGAAAAGAAGAGCTGAGGTTGTGGGTTGTATTGATAAGCTTGGCGCCAGCCATCACCAGCCTTCCTGTCAGGGGCCTGCCCTGACCCTGGCTGTCACAGAAGCCTTTGTCTCACACCCACACCCCTGACATCGCAGGGTGGCATGAGCTACCTCCCGTGTGCCGGACTAGCTCTGCGCCAACCAGCTCTTCTGTCCAGGGGGACATGGTCCAGTGTGCATAGCCAGAGCCTCAGGGCCCTGATCAAGACTAGTCCATCCTCAGAAGTGTCTCTCTGCATGCTAATCCTGTAGGTGGGTGTTGACAGTACTGTGTGGAAACAGTAGGAATTTGACTAGTGTGTGGAAGCAGACCAGACTGACCTGCGCAGAGGGATGGTGAGCCTCCCTGGCTCCTTCATCCAGCTAGTTCACTGAGGAGTGTAGGCTCTGAGCCTGCCTCACCTGGGCATCTGCCATTTCCAGCAGTGTTTAATGAAAGCTGTTCTCTGAAAGGTCTGGAAAATAAAGTCTGTAGCATAAAAGAGGAGTCGTGTGGAGCTTTTTTTCCCTTACCCAATAAATGTGATGGCATTTGTCAGGAATTTACAGGTTTCACTCTGACACCGTGTGTTTCCCCCGGGTGCCATTCGCCATTTCATTAGGCTGCTGAAAGCAAGTGGCAGAGCTTTCTCGGGCGCACTCCACGGCACTCAGCCACTTTCTGAGAATGTAGATGGGAAATTTGTTTCTAGTTATACATTTCCCCCATAACATATAAAAGTATTAAGCTAATAAAGCGCACACCCCCAGCTTTCACACTCACATTACAGGAGACGGTGCCTGCTGGGCCAGCAGACGGCTGTGGCTCCCTACCTGCAGCGTGACTAGGCACCCGAGTGTTCCTGGGCCTCTGCTCGCTCATCTTTCCCATTCACCCAAGTGAGTCAGAACCTCAAGGAAGCCACCAGACAGCAAGCACATACCATGTTTGCTTTTAAAAGATGGCCATTTAGAGCCAGAATTTAAAGCAAGCCTGCCGAGGGTCCTCTGACACCCTACCTTCTTGTGGACCCCAATGTTCCATCCGACATTCAACCCCACATCCAAGGTGACCTTCCCAGCTCACCCTCAACCCACCTGGGCACGAGCCTCTGGAGACTGCACAAGCCTCTAGTCGTTACAGCTCCTGACCTGGTTCCCTTTTTTGTTGTTGTTTTTGTTTTTGTTTTTTGAGACAGGGTTTCTCTGTATTGTTTTGGAGATTGTCCTGGAACTCGCTCTGTAGACCAGGCTGGCCTCGAACTCACAGAGATCCACCTGCCTCTGCCTCCCAAGTGCTGGGATTAAAGGTGTGCGCCACCAACGCCGGCTCTGACCTGGTGTCTCTTGTGACCACCAGAGTGCCTGGCCTGTGGAGCTCTTGGTGTAGCTGCCACTTTGACTGGTCCAGCCTTTCTGAGACCTCTATTGTTTAAGCCAAGGTCACCTTGGGAGGAAGAACAGCTGCCACCTTGGCTCACAGACCTGCCGAATCTGTGACTTGTTTCTAACTTACAGTTTGAGAGGTTCAGTCCATTATCAGGATTGCAGTCAGACATGGTGTTGAAGAAGTAGCTTAGAGTTCTACATCTTGCAGGCAACGGGAAGTCGGTTGACACACTTGGCGGTATCCTGAGCATAGGAAACCTCAAAGTCTGCCCCCACAGTGACACACTTCCTCCAACAAGGCCATACTCATTCCAACAATGTCGGACCTCCTAATAGTGCCATGGCCTATGAGCTGGTGAGGGCCGATTACATTCAATCCACCACAGAGGGTAAAGCAGCACTTGGCAACGCTGACATTGGAACCCCAGAACCTAGGTAAACAGATGGACAGCCTGGACAGCCTGCATCCGCGATCCCAGCACGCCCACTGTGTTTGAAGGTAGGGGCAGGAACTACACAGGAGCTCAGGTTAGCCAGTCAGGAGTATGCCGCACGGCAGAAATAACCAGAAAGACAGAAAGACCATACCTCAACAAGTCAGAAGGTGAGAAACAACTCCAAATTGCCTCTGACTTCCACACATGTACCATGGTACGCATGCACTATGCACACACACGTATACTTTTTAAAAATCAAGTATCAAAAACATACTGAAATTTATCTGAAGAGAAATACATTAAAGCCATTGTCACAGAGCCTGGTACAGCTCAATGTTTCTAAATTTGGGGGAAAGTCCCTTTTTTTGTTTCCCACCCCTGCAGAACGAAGTATACTAAAAGAAATCCATTCTCATCAAAGATGCTCAAGGTATTTTTTTTTAAGGTTATCACCCAATTAGAAGTACAAACTTTGTCCTTGACTCCCAGAGGGAGCCTGAATTGATGGGAGGAGCTGAACTGGTCTGGAAACTGCTGAGAGCTGCAGGATTCAGGACGAGGCCCTCAACTTCCTGAGTTTCAGTTAAGTGGCCATTGCTGCTGGACAGCGTAAGAGTCAGGGGAGGTCCTGTCTGTCACAGAAGCCGGGGATCATGAGGACAGTCACTGCAGATGAAGTGGCTTTTCCTACCATGGGTGCCTTGGGCTGGAAACCACATGGGAGTAACTTGGCCTCCCTCAGGGTGTTTGTGAGGCTCAGATGAACCCATGTTGGCCAATCTCTTAGAAGCACGTTCCTAATGTCTAGGAAGGCACACTGTCAGGTCCCTGTCTCCAACAAGAGTTTCTTACCTGGCCCTGGACTCCCACATTTGCTGGAAGGGCTCTGAAATTCTCCAAGTGTCACAAAGATAGTATCTACATGTGTGTCTAGCATCCAAGCTACTACCTCAGTCATCCAGACGCATCCTCTCTTTCATTCACTTGTGCCATAGGGGACAAGATAACTAGAGGAGCAGCAGAAGCATTTGAAAATGCCACTGTCATTCTGAGGGCTGCCTAGGAAGCTGCCGGGTGTCTGCTGTGGAGCTGGTAGGAGTGTCCCTGGAAGTCCCTTAAGGAAGTTGACAGCCTTTCATGATTGGAGCAAACATTTCTATGTAGTAGATGTGGAATGGACACCTTGGTTGTGGGGAAAAGGTCAGTGGTTGTAAATGAATTGCCTTGTGAGCAAAATAGGAAGAAAAGTGAGTTTTCCTGAGTACACTGCATGGAACAGAGGGCCGGACAGTAACACAGGAACTGTGTGCGGTGAGGTAGTGTGCTGCAGGGATCTCCATTTTGAAGAAGTATTATACTTGCTCAGGGAGTTCCTTTCTGACCTGTGATTCCTACCGTGTGAATGAGGGCAGCCCACTGTGCACGTAATTTCCCATTCCACAATCGCCACCATGCCCATCAGGGAGGTCCTGCTTGTCACCTGGTTATAGCATTCCCAGTCAGCAGTTCGGATGAAGGGGAGAGCTGTCTGTCCGGAAAATCTGAACTAAGCTTGTGAAAATTCCTGACAGGACCCATCCGACTCTTCTGCGGGTTTTATTAAGGCCTTGCTCCACGGTAGAGATCTGCCCACCACCAGTGTGCTTCTGTTGCGTTCCGCAAAGACACTTGTGAGAAACAGGATCCCCGACACAGCAGTGTTGACAGATGGGGCCTGTGAGAGGTGGCTTGGTCATGTGGGCTGTATTTCTAGTGGATTAGTGTCATGGAAGTGGGTTAGTTATCACACCAATAGTTCCTGGTAAAACAGGTTAGCTGGATCTCTCTCACATAGGTACTTCCTGCACGAAGGCCTCTCCGGCCTTGGGCATACCAGCCAACAGAACCATAAGAAATCTCTAGGCATGGAGGTAAGACTCAGTGCTAGAGCATATATGTAACATCCTGGGTTTGATTCCCAACACCACCAAGAAGAAACAAACACGAAGACCAGTGGTTCTCAACCTTCCTAATACTGTGACTCTTTAATGCAGTTCCTCATGTTGTGGTGACCCCCAGCCATAGCATTACTTCCTTTGCTACTTCATAGCTGTAATTTTGCTGCCGTTTATGAATTGAATGGAAGTATCTGTGATTTCTGATGGTCTTGGTGACACCTGTAGAGGGTCATTCAATGCCCCCACAGGGTTGCCGCCCACAGATTGAGAACCACTGACCTAGATCTTCGCTACTAATAAACTGCCCAGCCTCAGGTCTTCTGTTACAGGACACAGAACAAACTGGGACAAGGTGCTCTGATCCACGTAAGCCAGGCTTATGCGTGTGAAATCCTTCGAGTGCACATTAGTGTGCAGAATTGGCCATTAAACGTGGGGCTGTACAGTCCCCCCCCAGTGGCTCCACCACCACGCTTTCCCACCCATGAGCCACCCCTGTGAAGGTTATGGGGGAGACCTGTCTAGAGTTTGGCCTTTTTCATTCTGAGGTAGTGGCACATTCAATTGTGAACAATCTCATCATACAAAATGTCAAGCTGCCTGTTCGCTGGAGGCGCTGGAGCGTGAAGATCTGTTATTGAGGTCGGAGGTGACCATACCTTGTCTCTCCCACCCTGATGTAAGGTGCTTCGTGGAAGCATAGTCCACACCAGCTGAGGCCCCGAAGAGAAGTTCATCCTCCTGTCTCAAGGCCCCTCTCTTGTCTGCATGATTGGAAACTGAGCTGCAGAGAAACTTGACAGCACCAGCAGCCACCACAAGCAGGGCACAGGCTCTTAGCACCAGGACCCCCACCCCCACTCTGGGAAGAACAACCTGGTGTGCAAACTGCTGGCCCACCCATGTCTACCTGAAGAAAGATGGGGGGGAGGGGCTGAAGGAAGTGTGTTGGGCAGCTGAATCTGCTCAGTAGGAATTGTCTCCCTGACACATGAGAACCTGCCATTCAAAACAGGAAGCAGGTTACCTGAGACCCCCAAACTAGGCACTGAGGAGTTGGGTGTGGGGGCAACAAGTTGGCATTGTCAGACTTACGATGTTAAAGGGCACCCACACCTGTGAGTCATGATGTCTCTAGAACTGATAACAGCACGGGTTAGAGCTGGCCACTGGGTTAGAAAGGAACTTACATTGGCTGACCAGATCACCCCCTTCCCCCTGTCCAAGCCCCACTTGGCACAATCTGTGCCATGCATTCTTCAAAGAACCCCTGCATAAGGACTTGCACCAAGAAAAGCAGCTGAGTGCGTATGGTGGGTGGGGCAAGGCAGAGAGCACTCAGAGGTGAGTAGTTGGCCTGGTCCGATAACTGACTCTGCAGCCCTTGTCTCAGAATGACGGGAGTTTCTGGGAAGTGAACACACATCATATTCTGCTCCCTCCCAAAGCACACAGGACGATGGCCTCCACACAGGGGAGCCAGTGGAGTCAAGAACCTAGCATGGGCCGGGTCTGTTTCAACAGCAGTGGCATGCTGTGTGCCTTCCGTCCCCTCAGCCTGCCCTGTCAACAGCATCCACATGAACAAGGCTGGATTCTACTTCAAATTGAAAATAAATGGAATCATACCGAATTTTTCTTGTTTTAGCAATGTGTAACCCCACTTGAAGATGCACAGGTTCTTCTGTTATCAGGTTTGGGTGCAGATGGGATTTGGTATTTTTTTCTCTGGGGACTAGA